TTTATCAATACTGACCTATAAAACTTCTCCTTCTGAAAGAACAGCCCTCTTTTCCCAAGGGTTTGGAAAGCAATCTGTGGCCCTAACTTAATGACCCATAAGGGCCACCAACTCCACAGTCAGGTGACTTGACCTGGTAAGGGATGAAGTCCTGATGGCAGTGACAGTACATAAATGACTTTGGCACATGCGGGAAGAACATTCTCTTAGCTCTAATCGATTATATATATCGTTTATGAAGACCTTCTGTTTATGGGAAATGATGCTGAATTTCCATTTATAGAAGAAATATGAAGTTTCTGTTTTCCGTAAATTTAAGCAAAAAGTCAGTTGATGGGAAATACCGGGTAGAACACAGCTGGACAAGTGTGGGAACATCTCAAAGGTGATAAATCAAATTACTGAGGTTTGGGGGGGGAGAGTTCTGTACAGGAATGAGTTTTTAGGGGTGCAATTTTTAGTCTGGTAAGGCTGAAAGAAACTGGGGACAAGGCAGCCCTGCCTTGCAAATCACATCTGGCGGGTAGCTCTTCGTTCTCCAGCAGGTAAGATGGGGCTTGTTCGAAAGCCGTGTTCTGTTCTGTGCTGCAGCCAGTGAGGGTGCAAAAACACAAGAGAAATGAGGAAAATCTGAACACGTTCATGAAAGAGTAAAAGGAAGCAATAAGCATCTGGAAAGCAACCCTACACGAAAAATGGAATTTTCCACAAAAGGCAGGAAAGTGGGAGAGAAATTTAATTCCAGGCAGAGAGAATTATTGTTGGCCGTGATGACAGTGTCCTGGGCAGAGGTCACTGGGTCCCTTGGAGGCTGTGCCTCCTCCACTGCTCAGCTGGGGGTGACAGAAAGAGCACTGAACTACAAGTGGAGGAAGTTCCAGTCCCAGGGACATGGCATGATTGGCTGTTTGGGCCACTTACCTCCCAGCCTCAGTCTCCCTACCTGTTAAATGGGAATAACCAAAACGGGCCTCGGGGTATAAAAATACACGCTATGTCTTTAGGTAAGGTAGTCATTAATAACACATAATTCTTTTCATCCAAACACATATGGAGCAAGAGCACATACGTGATTAGGGAGGCAGTGTTTTGAGTGCTGACAGTGAGAAAGAATCAACCTACAGTCACAGAAGAAAGAGACAGTGAGACACAAGCATGGCCTCAAATGACTTTGAAGTCAGCGCCCCAGCTAGTTCTTAAATACTAAGGACACTCACGGGCCGAGGACCCAAAAGGCATTGGTAAGTAAATATGTTTTCATAAGCAGAGGTATCAGCGGTGGTGTGAGCCAGGGTATGACTGTTTGAAATAAATAATCTAGAAACAATCTAGAAATAATAATAATATAATATATTACATATATATATATATATTAATATAATATATTATATATTTATATAATATAATAAAAATAATCTAGAAACGAATAAATCATCTAGAGGTATCCAGTGTTCTGATATAAAATATGACAAAAGAAATTATAAAAAGATGGCCCAATAGAAGGAGGCAAAGGCTGGCAGACCAGCTACCCTTATCATTGGGTACTCACTATGTGTGTTTTACTCCACTGAACCATTTCAGTCCCAGAACGGCACGATAAAGCCACCACCACGATCATTCTCATTTTATAAATGAGTAACCTGAGACACAGAGAGGTTGAGTGGTTTGTCTGAGCTAGTAAGGGCCAGACAATACAAACCCAGGCAGCGTGACCTTAGCCAGTCAAGTAATGGAGCTGAGGGATGGAATCCAGTAACACTTTAGTATAAGCTGGCAACATCTGAGGGCTTAGTAAGTACCCGGCACTACTAAGAACCATGCACAATCTTGTTTAACCCTCACCCAACCTTAGGGAGCAGGTGCTATTGGAACCTCAGTTTTGTAGATGGGGAACCGAGGGGAACAGGGACATCAGAGAGAGGAACTTCCTGACCACTCAGAGCAGTGCTTCTCAACCTCTTTCATTCACTCTCCCCCCACCCCACCCTGAAAAAGCACTTTTCCTAATCACCCATGATGACGATTTAATACCACAGAGAGACTGTGTATCTGTTTATTGGGCTGTGTGTTCAGTCTGTGCTTTGTACATAAAAACGGTAAGGTGTATTCACTGACTGCCCCCCAAAAATCACTTTTTGCCCCCACTGAGAACATGTAGTCTCTGGCTTAACGAATCCTTACGTAAGCAGTCTACTGTGACCCAGGAAAGTGATTCGTTTATTCATTTCTCATTTATTCATTCAATCCTTCAATTTACTGAGTGAAAGAGACTAGACTCGACAGGAGTGCAGTGTTGTGTGACTCCATGAATACAAAGTTCAATAGTGGACACACACATATGGTGACAGAAATCAGAACAGTGGTGGCTCCGGGGGCTGGGGTGAGGTTGTCTGGAAGGGGCATGAAGAAACTTCTGGTATGAGAGAAAGTGTTTTTTTTTTTTTTTTTATCATGATCTGACTGATGGTTATGTGTGTGTATACCTTAGTCAAAGTTTATGCTTAAGAAATCTGCATTTTATGGCCGGGCGCGATGGCTCACGCCTGTAATCCTGGCACTCTGGGAGGCTGAGGTGGGAGGATCGTTTGAGCTCAGGAGTTGGAGACCGGCTTGAGCAAGAGCGAGACCCTGTCTCTACTAAAAATAGAAAGACATGAGCTGAACAACTAAAAATATATGGAAAACATTAGCTGGGCACAGTGGTGCATGCCTGTAGTCCCAGCTACTTGGGAGGCTGAGGCAGGAGGATCGCTTGAGGCCAGGAGTTGCAGGTTGCTGTGAGCTAGGCTGACGCCACGGCACTCACTCTAGCCTGGGCAACAAAGTGAGACTCTGTCTCAAAAAAAAAAAAAAAAAAAAATAGAAAAAAGAAAAAATTAGCCAGGCATGGTGGCACATGCCTGTAGTCCCAGCTACTCGGGAGGCTGAGGCAGGAGGATCGCTTGAGCCCAGGAGTTTGAGGTTGCTGTGAGCTAGGCTGACACCACGGCACTCCAGCCTGAGCAACAGAGTGAGACTGTGTCTCAAAAGAAAAAAAAAATGCTGAAAAAAATAAATCTGCATTTTTTTGGTATATAAATCATATTCCAGGGGGATGGTCATGCTGGAGACTCAGACTTGTGGGGGGAGGGGGGGAAATGGGCATTTATTGAAACCTTAAAATCTGTAACCCCATAATATGCCGAAATTAAAAAAAAAATTATATTCCACTAAAGTATAGGATTTTTTTTTTAACTGTTTGATTTTTTTTTTTTTTTACTCTATTCATTTTTTTTCTTGTCATAAAAATAGTTGATTTCTATTCATTGCATTTGGACTCAGGGCGCCGAGATGCCAGTCAGAGGCAAACAGCACCCACCTACAGGCAGGAAGCATGGTTTTCCAGAAAGTATTTCCCAGCGTGTGCCTGGCCGGGGGGCTTTCAACGGACGCCTGAAGACCCCCACAAGCTGCTGCATCTGAAGGCCCAACCAAACGCTCAGCGTGGCTGCGTGGGCTCGGGAAAGCCATGCCAGCCCCTCCATCTGGCTTCACCAACGTGTGCCCTGGACCCCACGCTCCCGTGACCCCATGTCACAGGGGACTAGAAGAAGTCTAGAGAGGACCTAAAAGCCATGCCATGAGAACAGACCTTCCAACCAAGTGCTCTGGGGATTTCTGAGACGGCCGCTGGGAAGAGGCAACAAAAGTCCACGGACTCGCAGGAGGGAAGAAGGAAGGGGACTCCCAGACTCTGAGAGCAGTTAGTTACTTCTCTGGACGGTGGCCCACGGCTGTCTCTCGGCGCTGCCTGGGCTTGGCACTGAATGATTGCCAGCAGGGACGCTGTTGCCTGCTTCCCACGGGCTTAGGTTATTTTCCCAACTAGATCGCAATGGCCCGTGGGCAGTGCTGTGTCCCTCTGTGGCCACAAGCTGTGCCTCACCGTCAGATTCCTGGGATTGTGTAAGTATGAATGCCAGTTTTTTTTCTTTTTGAACCAGATCCTGGGAGCAGGGTTTGAAAACATGGATCTCTGTGCTACTTCTGCTTGTGAGAGACAACCTAGGTGCCAGTCTATTGGAATTTCTAAGAAGTTAAGAGATTTAGGGGCATACAACAGGAAAACTATTTAAAAGCTGTCCCTTCTAGAAAATGTATGGTCAATGTAACCCTGAAGTAGCCTTAAAAGCCTTGTCCTAACTGTACCAGTGTATTCAACTAGAAGAAGGGAGAAACTTGATAGATTTTGCTTTGGAAGAAAATAGAAACACGATCAAGCAAATCCATCAGTTTTTTCTTTTGCATATTCACCCTCAGAGCTGGACAGAGAAAGAACGAACAGAACTAAGAACTGACATTTGTTGAGAACCTGCTGTATTTATTAGGTGTTCTACTAAGCAAGGAATAAGCATTATCTTATTCAATCCTCATAGTACCCCACGCTGGTAGGTGCCATCATTGCACCAATTTTACAGAAACGAAAGGGGTTGGTATACGCCTGGTTTGGAGGATGGAATTGGAAGATGGAGTAGGAAACCCAGGTGAGACCCTCCTCTTTCATGCTCAACGCTATCTTTCTCTCCCTGGGTGACCTCTAAACCCTCATTAATAACTACAGGGCAGTGTCACTGTGTGTCACTGCGTGTCACAGATGAGAACAGAGGCACAGAGAGGGGAACGGCAGGGCTGCAGTTTGGACAGGGACACGGAAACATGTCTTGAAAATCTTCACTCTTAGCAGTCTGCTCCTCGTGCAGGTCTATGCGAGGTCTGAGCAGCCGACTGAGTTTTAGCAGGTTGCCAAGACAAGAGCAGGCCACCCGAGCGTGTGCATGGCTGGCATCTGGGGCTGGACTTGGTCAAGGGTGGCAGCACCAAAATGCACCAGGGGAGCTGACTCCCGAGCAGGACCCTGGGCAGGGGCCACCAGCACGGTGGCCATTTTCCAGTTGGATGTTTAAGTGTCCAACATACATTAAATACCATGTTAACCCGGTTCTCCCCTTCCTTGAGCTCACCTGCACTGTCTGCACCGTGTAGATCTTCTTCAGATTTGACGCGCACTGAGCTGCGGTGGCACCAGGCAGGGACCTAAGCAAACAGAAGCGAAAGAACAAAGACACAAACCAAACGAGCAGTCAGTGTTCGCTAAATAGTCCGTAATATAATTCTACTGAGCTTAATAAAAAAAAAAAAATAATAATCAGGTCTCAAAGCTGAGAACTGCCAATTTCTGGGATGCTAGTTCGAATTTAAAATGCGAAATTCCCACTTTATGAAGTCATGTGTTTGCTTCCCCTAAAATAAATCAGCATATTTATTCTGTGGAAATGTAATTAAAAAAAAAAAGTTAAAGTATGTAAAAAAGGGTACTAGAAACTTTATAATCGTATTTTTAAAAATACCCAAATAACCTAGTAATAACCAAGCATTTTGTCTAGGATTTCAGATAACTGCCTATTGTACAGACGGCAATGAAGGTGCAGCGTCCTGACCTGGGGCTATGTTTGAAAACGTGTTAGTGCCCTTCTGGTAAAGAGGTACTCTTCAGAAACAAAGTGACCATTGCCTGCTTTAAGAAAACATTACTAAAAGTCACTTTTGATGTCCTCTGAATTTGCACGTGTTTCCAAAACCCTCGCCTTTGAAAAGTCCTTTGTTATTTTCTAAAGTTCTGATTTAATCAGCTCTGCTGAACTTCACGGTTGCAATGCATTCATGTTTAGTTTGCTATATGTTCCACTAGATGGCAACATACTACAGGTTTAGTCACCAGAAATGCAATTTAACTGGCTTTACCAAGCACTGGGGTTAAAATGAATGACAAGGTCTCATCAGACCTTTGGAACTAAAACTCTTAATGCCTATCTCCTTTTCTTTCTCCCTAGCATGAATTAGCAGTTTGTGCTCAAGAATGTTGAGGTCCAGTTATAGCAAGCCTAAGATGATATTTCAGCCCAGTGTGGTGGCACACGCCTACATGTCCAGCTACTCAGGAGTCCGGGGCAGGAGGACTGCTTGAGCCCAAGAGGTTAAGACCAACCTGAGCAACAGAGCGAAGGCCCATCTCCAAAGATATTTCACCATACAAAGAATGCTCAAGAGCTCCACTTATGGTTGTTAGTGAGAAGTAAGAGGCTTGCTGAGAAGAGAGAGTACCCATTGCAACTGACCCACTAGGACCTAGAGCCTATAAAAGCGACTGTCCCCCAGGGACCCTCGCCATGTTGCAGTTTCTGGGCAGGTGTTAGACCACCACACACTAGAGATGTGCACAAAATTCCTCTTAGCTCAGGGGCAGAGGGGATGGTAAAGACCCACGCCTGCTGAGGGCAAGCACAGCAGGCTCATGAACTATGAACCCGCAAAGGCTCCCTAGGTATGGAGCCTAAATATCAAAAATGCATTGCTGAATAGAGTTCCCTTATCAGAAGGTCAGGAAGGAAGCACAATGATAGGCTCGTTTGGGAACAAACGAGGGATCCCCACTGGCAAGTGAAGTCTCATAAAGAAATCTACCCTAAAGCACGGAGTTCCCAACTCTATTTTGTCCAGCAAAATGAATCCGATGGCGACGTGGTTTTAACAAAAGCAAATCCACACTGAAGCCCAGGAGTTTGAGGTTGCACTCTGGCCAACAGGCAACAGAGGGAGACCCTGTCTCAAGAAAAAGCAAATCCACAATAACCATCATGACTGTGCTTTGTTGCCAGGCTTGGAGCCTAAAATAACTACGATGAAAGGTGTTGGTGGAGGGAGAAGTACTCAGCCAATAACTTGTTAGTGACAGTTCATGCCTGGCCCCTGATGAAATGCTTTGGTCTGTATGGACTGCCAGGACCGTGCTTACTAAATGATCAACGTGGATAAATATTAATTTGCTATTTTATGCAGGTTTCCTATGCCTTTTGCAGCTTAATTTATAAAAAAATTAGGGATAAAAATTTTTTTTTTTTGAGACAGTCTCGCTTTCTTGCCTAGGCTAGAGTGAGTGCCGGGGCGTCAGCCTAGCTCACAGCAACCTCCAACTCCTGGGCTCAAGCGATCCTCCTGCCTCAGCCTCCCAAGTAGCTGGGACTACAGGCATGCGCCACCATGCCCGGCTGATTTTTTATATATATATTAGTTGGCCAATTAATTTCTTTCTATTTTTATGGTAGAGACGGGGTCTCGCTCTTGCGAGGGCTGGTTTTGAACTCCTGACCTTGAGCAATCCGCCCGCCTCGGCCTCCCAGAGTGCTAGGATTACAGGTGTGAGCCACCGCGCCCGGCGGGATAAAAAATTTTAAAACCTCAATTTTTTTCTGAATAGACTATTAACAAGGAAAATTGTATCACTTTTATATTAAAATCTACTGGCATTTTTTTTCCCCAATACTGACTTTCCTTCCTTTGAAAACTTACTGCTCCACCAGATATGCCCAGAAAATATATTCCTGAATGCCCCAAAGCACACAGAAGAGTATATATGGAAATGTATTTTTCATTTTTTCATTTTAAAAACTATTTCAAAATTTTTTCAAAATTTTTGAAAATTTCGAAATATTTTTGCAAAATTTATTTCAAAAATTTATTTATTGTCAAAATTTATTTCAGAAACATTTTTTTTTTACTAATACACTTCAATTTAGGATGGTTTAGAATGAGTATAATTTGAAGGTTCATCTCATATAGACAGCATTACATAGATTTAAGCAAAGACAACGTAAGACCATTTAACCTAGAAAAAAAAAATCACTGATGAAGATTTGATTTATATTGTCTTTTTCAATGCCTGCCTTTCTAGTCTGGTCTCTTACTTGTATTCCAGTGGAGGAGATAATTATACAAAGTCATTTAGGGTCTCTCGCTATCCAAGTTTTTTTCTTTTTTTTTAAGAAATTGAGTTTCCACAGCCCCCAAAAGGACTCTAGAAAAAAGCAACTAGGCACTGCTTATTAGTGGAAGACAAACGTGTCAATAGCCAATATGTATTTGCTGAATTCTTGCTGATGTGCTGGGCATTCTACCTCACTGCAGCACTGAACGGGGTGTACGGAGGTTTGGCAACTTGCCAAAAGCCACAGAAATGTGGTTGGAATACAGGTGTCCTGTCTGCCATTTCCTGCTCCTCTTCAACCTTCACTGCTGAGCTGCCCGTTCAAGCCACACTCACACTTTTTATAATGGAGTTTTGCAGTTGACTCTTGGTGTGTTCTCATCAAAGCCACCGGATTTGCTGAATCCTGTCTTTAATACAAGTATACTTTTCTTAGAGGAAACAACATTAAATTAGTGTTCACAATGGTGCAGGGTTAGGAAGGTTCTCCCCAAAACCAACAAGATCACACTCAATGACAGCTCTCTCTTGACAGATGAACGCTTGATGATATTGACGTGTTGGGGTTTGAAAGGAAGCATGTCCAAGTTGCATGGAAATTCAGCTTCTGAATCTCTGCCTGTTGTATGAATGACCCGGGCTTCACGATAATAACAAAATGATGACGTGAGAACTACTGATGGGAGTGCACGGTTGGCTTGGTCAGCCAGCAGAAGGCATGGCATGGCGTTCTTCTGTGTGCCCAGTCTGATTCTGACTGTCCCTGGAAAACACTAACACGCCTCAGCATCATGACTGACTCTCAGACTTCTTTCATTAATAAGCTTGGGCTATAGCCACAGAACCAATTTTAAAAGGGCAAAACGAGCCAAGATCTTTAAAAGATCTGGAAACAGGTCAGTGTGTCCTGGGCTTGCTCATTCAAAGTGGAACCAGGAGCTGTGCCATCTACTGTCACTGTTTTATGAAGCAGCAGAGCAATCTGCTCATGGCAAGGCTGCAGCCTTGGCAGCCGGAAGCCAGACCTCTCTTTCCTGTCACTCTGATCCACACTGTCGCAACCTCAAGGCCAATGTTTGCAATGGACGGCAGTGAAAGAAACATTTTTATCACATTTTATTGCATTCATGTTACAAACCTTAACCTCCCACCAGAACCCTAATCAAAAATGCTCTCGCTGTGGACCAGGGCTGCTCATCTCGGGTCAGAGGACATGTGGCAACATCTGAAGACACTTTCTGGTTGTCATCTCGTGGGTAGAAGCCCAGGGTGCTGCTGAACATCCGGCAATGCACAGGGCAGCCCCCAGAGCAGACGACTGGCCTAGCCCCAAATGGCAACCACAGCAAGGCTAAGACACCCCGTTGTAAACGTGCAGCAAACAGTCTCAGATCATCTTAAACTTAGTCAGTCAACAAGGCTTTGTCGCCCAGCTCTTCTGGCTGCTGGGGGGGCGGCAGTGATCATTCTAGACAAAGCCCCTTGGAGTTTGTGACTTCTAGAACCAACACCTCTATTCCCTGAATCTCCTAGGTCCCAAAGGCAAAGAAACAACAGTCAGATCCTTTTTAACTTCCCTGGAAGGGAAGAGGTGGGAAAGAAAGCTAAGAGAGGGAAATGCACATGCTGACGATGGCCCTTCTTAAGATACAGCCGGAGCTGTGGGAAATCACAGAGCCTGGGAAAATAGGGCCTGTTTTCACATTCTCTGAATTCTATGCCACCCTCCCAGAGCAGACAGCTAGAGGCGAGAACACAGCAATGGAACAATAAATGTCCCCTGGATAGATCAGGATAAAGAATTTTAATTGCTCCACCCGGAGTTCTCCCTCTATTTAATATGTTGATGAAACGATGGCCTTCTTTTACTGCGTATTATTACATGAAAGGGTTCTGCGTACACACGTTCCATCTAATCCTTACTATGTTGGTATCATGATCCCCACTTTACAGATCGGGAAACTGAGGCTCAGCAAACATGTTTCTAAGCAGCAGATCTGTGTTCTCCCGCTGGTCTGTCCGGCTCTGATGCCCATGGCCTACCCCTTAAGGCAACTAGGTTGCCTCCCAGTAAAAACTGAACAGCCACTGTCGGCGTGGGTGGTCACACACAGCACGTCAAATGGCAAACCCCTCTCTCTCCCGCTCTCAGATTATCTACTCCCTCCTTGGGCCCACCCACTGCTCCTGCCTGTCATCCCTTCCTCCACCCCAATGCACCTGCCGTGCCGTTGGCAGGGGGCAAAAGCAGACGCCCAGGAGAAGGCTGGAT